ACTTCTCGGCTCCACTGCCAACCTCGTGACTTCTCGGCTCAACTGCCAAACTCGTGTCATCTCGGCTCAACTGCCAAAATCGTGACTTCTCGGCTCCACTGCCAACCTCGTGACTTCTCGGCTCAACTGCCAAACTCGTGTCATCTCGGCTCAACTGCCAAACTCGTGTCATCTCGGCTCAACTGCCCAACTCGCGTCATCTAGGCTCCACCGCCAACCTCGTGACTTCTCGGCTCCAACGCCAAACTCGTGTCCTCTCGGCTCAACTGCCAAACTCGTGTCATCTCGGCTCAAACGCCAACCTCGTGACTTCTCGGCTCCAACGCCAAACTCGTGTCACCTCGGCTCAACTGCCAATCTCGCGTCATCTCGGCTCAACCGCCAACCTCGTGACTTCTCGGCTCCACTGCCAATCTCGTGTCACCTCGGCTCCACTGCCAATCTCGTGTCACCTCGGCTCAACTACCGAACTCGTGTCACCTCGGCTCAAACGCCAAACTCGTGTCACCTCGGCTCAATTGCCAAACTCGTGTCACCTCGGCTCACTGCCAAACTCGTGCTCTCTCGGCTCAACTCCCAAACTCGTGTCCTCTCGGCTCAACCGCCAAACTCGCGTCATCTCGGCTCAAACGCCAAACCCGTGCCTTCTCGGCTCCAACGCCAATCTCGTGTCACCTCGGCTCAACTGCCGAACTCGTGCTCTCTCGGCTCACACGCCAAACTCGTGTCATCTCGGCTCAGACGCCAAACTCGTGACTTCTCGGCTCAAACGCCAAACTCGTGACTTCTCGGCTCCCACGCCAATCTCGTGTCTTCTCGGCTAAAACGCCAAACTCGTGTCCTTGGCTCAACTGCCAAACTCGTGTCATCCCGGCGCCACTGCCAAACTCGTGCCATCTCGGCCCAACCACCAACACTCTCGTCCCAGCCCGGTCCGTCCGCCGGCTTCGTGTCATCTCGACTCAACCGCCGGCTTCGTATCATCTCGGCTTCAAGCTAACCACGTTCATCTCGGCTCTACCGCCAACCTCGCGCCCTCTCGGCTCAACCGATGTATAAGTATCGTCTCGGCTCAACCGCCAACAACCTCGGTCATCTCGGCAACCGCCATCCCCGTGCCAGCCCGGCCCAGCCGCCGGTTTCAGATCGTCTCGGCTCAACTGCCGGATTCGTGTCATCTCCAACCTCACAGGACATTCTTTCACAGGACTTTCTTTCCAGACTTTTTGTACCACTTCGTGCAGTCTCAGCAGTGTGTTAACCTCACCCAGCACTGTTCCTTTTGTATATTTTTATCGCATTTATTTGGCCCAGTACGAGCTAGTAACTTAGTCCGACTTTGTATCACTACCGTTCAGTCCCAGTAGTATGTTACCTTAGAGATTCGGAAGCAATGTGCGGGCAGACCTACTACTTGTCTGTGTTCCCCTGTCCTCGACGCAGGACGTTCGCCTAGATCATGGGTTGCTGCCCCATAGTTCCTATGCTATCTCGTTCATGTTCAGTCTGATACTCCCGTCAACATTACTACTGTGTTACAGCACTGTTATTTATGAATGTTTTATTACCGTTGTATTGCCTAGTACAGACTAGCATTTTAGTCAACTGTTAGTTATTAATATTTTCTCGCTGTTGCCTTGTCTGTTACAACAAGTTTTTTATGCAGTCTTACACAGCACTGTTACTTTTGAATATTTTATTACTGTTGTTTTGCCGTACAATCTAGCTTTTTAGTCTGCAGCACTGTTACTTAGCAATATCACTCAGCACTGTTACTCAGTCCGTCCCCCTCCTTATACTAGTAGCTACGCCCCTCTACTACAGTTACTGCACTCTCCCCCTCATCGCCTCTCTCCTTCTCTCCTTCCCTCCGGGCTTGGTCTTGGTGGATTCTCATGGTTTAAAACATTAAACTTACCAAGCCCATCTCGCCTCTTTGTCTCTCTATGATAAGCGTTGAGTGTGAGTGCAGATAATTGTAGTTCTTTGGGCGACAGATCAAAGAAATTAATTAGATGCACAGAATACGACCCCTGACCTCACTTGACCCAGCGGTCATCTGTTTATTGTCATCACAAGTAGCGGGCGGTGGGAGCTCACGTACTC